GGGGGGGGGGGGGGGGGTAGACGTAAAGTGCCTGTAGCTAATATCTCAGGGTAAGTTATTGCGAAGAAACTTTCAGAAAATGATTGTCGTGCAAGTGCAAGTAATACAGTAATTTATGGTACCATGACAACAAGTGCTGACGTCAGTATGAGGTCATCATTAGCCAAATTCTGGGATTTCTATATCATATAGCCTACTTCAAATGCTTATCGCTAAGACCATTGTTTTGAGATTTTGAATGTATTTCAACATTAAAGTGGAACATCTCGATTTAAAACATGTATGCAAATGAAGATTTGTAGAAAAAAAACTGCGATAATCTAACCTCATTCACAGGGCTTCCGTATGAGGACGAGGGGTGAGACGAGACTGAAGCCCTGGTCTGGGCCGGCCAATTTTGCATTCCGATTGGCTAACACCATATTGTCTAAAAATAGCTGAACTTAACAGTTGACAATAGCAACACAGGGGCAGAAAAGTACAATTATGTTTTATAGATACTTTGTCATCAACCAATATTGCATATTTATATCAGAACAATCATTAAACAAAGTCATAAAAGGATCGAAATTAGCTGATTTTTATTCTTTCGATAATATCATGCCTTCTACTTCATGTAATTCAAACATCATTGCATTACAACGACAATATCCGAACATCTTATGAAAGGATGCCGAGGGTGTAGCCCGTAAATAAATAAGAAAGGGATGAAACGCCGAAAATCTTTCGCTCGATGTGCACCGCAACACATGGTGACGGAAGTTAGCTCGACATTTGACCAGAAGTAGAACGGAAGTTGAAGGAAAATTGATCTTTCATCTTCCATCACCTTTTAATCGAATTAACGGTTAATATTAAATTAAATTAAATTAAATAACAATAACAAATTTTAAAAAATACTGCGAAATTAAACTCAAATATAGAACGTTTTGTCACTAAAAGAAATGCGAACCACCCGTTTCAAAAAAAGAGCTTAATTTGTTGCAAAGCAACACACGCTCTTTTATGTAGATGGTAAGCTTTTCAATAATTTTAAAACAATTCTTCTTGAATCGATCAACCGTGAATATATCCACGACTGTGACCTTTGTCTATGACTGTAATGAAAACGGCAGTCTTTAGACAAGCTGGTCACGATTTAAACTCGTCTTCGGCGTGTGTGCAGTGTGCAGACTTAAGATATATCAATAGACTATTTAAATTAAAAAATAAACTATACTTCTGGGACGAAAAAATGGCAGTAAATTTAAATAAACTTTGAAACGGTTTCGTTATAATTCGGTTAATATAGACCTTTTTGTAGTATAAGCATCGGTGCAATTTGGTTTGTATTTTGCAGGCTTTGTATGAATTACCAAATAAGTGACAATTCTTTCAATAAGTGACAATTCAATTCAAGGACAGTTCAATTCAGTGACAATTCAATAAGTGACTATTTATATGAGCATATTGTTATTTTGAAACTGTATTACTGATCATAAAAATACTGTATGCACCTGTAATATATATGAATCAGTTGTAAAAATAGTTTTCGTCATGCGCAATATCTTTCTAAGTGCGTAAGTACGTCACTTCCGTCACCATCTGTTGCCGTGCAAGTTGAAACAAAATAAGCCAAATTAAAATTGTAGTCTCAAAAATTTCGGTTTAATAGCCCTTTTTAAAAACTTCCTTGTACACGTATCCTAAGTGTATCATATCTATAAACTGTACACAAAAAATACAAGGTTTTGGTTCAGAAACACGCCAGTTATATCCATTCGAAAAATTTCACGATCG